TATCTAAATTGAGAAAATGACACACCCATGACGAATCGAACACCAGAAAAATCTGACAATGAAATCCGAAAAACATCTGCACTCATAACGTGAGAAAAAATAGACCCCCCAACTAACAAGTGAAACTAAGCTTTTACGAAAATCCAATTACCAGCCACCCCCACTGTCTTGAAGTAATAAAACTGACTTACAAAGCGACAGGAAAGCGCTTTCCGTTTCACACGCATGAGCTAAAAGGGCGACATTGTTAGTGAAAAGCCATAAACCAGATGTGTGTCCTCGCAACCGTCTCTCGCCTTTGTTACAATTCCTATTCAAGAACAACAAGTTAAACAACACCTTAAGAACCTAAGAATACTTTTTTTTTTTTTCAGATTAAAATACACATGAATACAAACAAAAATATTAGAATAATAATAACTTAAAACACATATTAAAAATTGAAATTCGCGACATAACATATTCCTATTAGAATAATAACTTGAAACGCATACTAATTGAAATTCTCGACATAACATCAGCTGCAAAATGGCTCGGAAACACATCCTACTCCAAGTCACCTTACTTTCGTGTAATACAGTACATCAGAGTATTCAGATTGCATGGACTGAAGAAAATCTCAAAATTGCATGTGAGTAAGCCCACGACATTGAAATAGTATTTACAAGCTTCACGAGTGCATCAAGCACGGGTTTCATATTCAATGCAGATTTACACAGAGCATCTTGATATAAAACACAATGCAGAAAAACATTGTTCTCGGGAAAGTTTTGATTAAAGCTTCCAAGAAATGGAGATTTTTTCCTGTTATATTTGGTACTCCATCGGTCGTTATATTGCACATATTTGTTATAGGTACTTTCAAAGTAAAAAGCCCTTCCTGAAATTCACGAAAAATATCACATCCCGTTCTAGTTCCTTTTAAAGAACGCATGCATGCATGCCACTTCCTCGGTAATTTCAACGTTATCATCAACACCTTTTATAAATAATACTAACTGAGCATTATCATTTATATCTGATTTCATCCATAGCTATGGAACAAAATTTAAACTTTCCAATCTTTGACTAATTGTGATGTCAATTTTACCGATGTCTTCGATTCTAGAAGTCACCGTTTTTCGAGTTAAGCTTAAAACCTTTTTACAAAGACTTTCTGCATTTTGTTTTCTTTCATATTTGACATTGCTTCGGAATTGGAATTCTTATGATTAGATGTGAAATGACGGGAAATGTTAAAATTATTTCCAGGTCCATTTATCATTAAAAGCACGGCACTTTGAATCAACTTTGTGTTTGTACCGATTTTGGGGTTGAAATATTTTACGAATAAACCAAACAAGCACTAGCTACGCTATACTTAATTTTACCACTATTCACAATGATGCTATATGTCCGCATTTTTCGATGTTAAACCAATAATATTAAAACTCGTGCCAAAAGAAAAAGCCGCTGGCTGGATTTTAAAATGCGCAGTTTGCCATATGTGAGGTCTAATTCATTTGGATTGGACTCCCATATGTCTGTTCCCCGAGAAAGAAATAACTCTTGTTGGCGACAATCTACAGTTATAACAAAGAACTTCCGCTTTTAACACTTTACACCTATTGAAAGCTGTCTGTGCTTGATATTTCCATCAATTAATGTTTTGTAGAACGCCACCTAGACGGTATAGTGTTTAGGGAAGCCTGACTGTGATACCGAAGGGCCTGGGTTCGAATCGCGGAGAAGGCATGGTTGTAACTGTCCGTCCCTTCATAGGAGGCGATGGTGGCCCATCTATTAGATGCCTCCATAATAAAGAGACCACCCCATCTGGCCCTGTATAGATTAATGCACTGGGTTATACTGTAACTGTTCACAATCTGCCATTGAAAAAAATGTTTTGTAGAACAAAAATAGAGAAAGTAAAAAGATCAGTCCTATGAAGAAAAATATTAAAACAATAGAAAAGGAGATTGATATATGATATATATTTTAATTTACCTTGGACCGGCAAATTAAAATTCTATCGATGCGCGCGGGCCGTAGTTTGCCAATCCCTGTCTTATGGGCTCGAGTTTTGCCGAAGTGGGAGGGGTTATGCCGTCTACTTTGCCTCGTACATTGACAAAGCAGAATCTGATTGCTCTAATTTCGATGTCCGATTCTCTTGAAAATGGCATTTTTTAGATAGAATCCAGTTATTCCTACCAAGGAGTTATCAAACAACTTTACGAAAACAATCAAATGAACCTCTGTTCTCCAGATACGAACTTCATCCCAAGTTATGCTCTGTATGGTAGGTCTATAGGAATAATTTGTTACGAATTTGTTCGTGAATAACAGTTCCAAATGCAAAAAGATAAGCGAAGTGTAAAGAAATTCACTCACCGAGGTAGCCGATTCACAGCATTCAATTTAAATTTCAGATAATGGTCCGACCGCAGATTTATTGCTTAGTCACCGAAATAGCAAATTTCATTTTTTTGAGGCTGTCTGACATCTTGGTAACTTCTTCAAAAACCAAACTAATAACCGTTTTGAAAGAGAATTTTAAGCTGCGAAAAAGATGGTTGAAAAATCGAACGACATGCTGCCCACCTCCTTATCCGTACTGTTTCAGGTATTTGCATTCAAAATGAGCTTTGTGCGACACAGCGCATGAGGTGACTGAAAGAGTACTAGCAAGACAGTGGTGAAGATAACTTAGATGTGTTTTGCACAGAATATTGAAACAATGTATTAGTCTTTTGCCAGGTAGTAAAGTTTAAGACCTCCAATTTATGTTAACTAGTTTGAAAACTAGCAAGTAAAATATGGTTGGTATTTTAAATACAATACTCGAAACGAGTTTCCTTCAAGTTCAGAGATCGAATTCATACGTAACCAAGGATTTACTATACTGCTAAAATGAATATCGATGTATGAACGTCAAAAGTAATATAACTTAAGAGGATTTCAATAATCTTATTCTGAAGCTAATGGACAACTTAGAGATTTAGATCAAATGAATGTTGATCAATTATAATTTAAGACACCGATGCCAGATTCTAAACTTAAAAAGTCCGTTAATAAATGCTATATTCAGTTACATCCGAGTACTAGTTTATAAGTAATACCTTCAGAAAGAGTAAAACTACTGGAAACGTTAGACGACTGCACTTTTTTCCAACATTAATTTTTAAGATTGCACTTTAAAACTAAATGCAACTGCGCTGAATAAAGAATTATTCCTACCTCAAAAACAGAAAGAGGTAAGATTATTTAAAGCCAATTCTATATTTACAGGAATGTATGAACTGAGTCTGTCTGAAAAGAACGCAGGGCGAATTGTTGGTATTCTATGGTCTTAACTACTCTGCCACTGAGAGCATTCATGGTATTCCCAGGAGTTCATTCCAAGATGGTAGAATTATGCAATTTTCAATCAAGACATAAAATTTGCTTTGAAAAATTGATTCTACAGAAATTGGGCTGCGAAACAAAAAATGCCGCTTTCGTATTTTTATGAAAGCTTTTCTCGGGATGAATTCCTGCAGTACGCATGAATGTGAAGATTTTAAAAGAAATTTTAAAGTTTTAAGTGCAATTAAATAGTTCTAAGGCTTCAATGGGAAACAAATTTTTCATTACAAAATTAAATATCCGTAAATATACGGGCATGATCCATTTGTTATTAACTCAGTTTCCCGTTTGAGGGCTCACCTCGGGGTGCGAGCGGCTTCCCTATGAAGTGAGTAATCCATAAGCGCGTCTTGGTGGTACATTAAACTTTACGTTCACAAAAGTACTCAGTAGTGGGTACTCTGATTCCGCTCTGATGCTAATAACCAGTTGTCTTGTCGAAACACGTCCGAGTATTACAGGCGGTGAGAGGACGTATAGAAGCACCTCGGGGCCGGAGAATTTCCGAAAACTTAATTAGCGTGGATGTAAGAAATGCACATGTGTTAATTAAATAAATTACCAAAATAAAAATTATTAATGAGATTCAGAAAATCTGAGTGTAGTCTTGTTTGGTTCGATGGTCACTCTGATCGATAGTGATAGTGCTTATGGTTAGTCATTCGTTTGGGTCAAATTCGAATCCAGAGAACACGTGTAATTGTATGGTGTGTGAAGCAAAGCGGCACTAAAAATGCACAAAACGGGCCGAAAGCCCTCAAGTGATTGGCAACACGAGAGAACTTATTGCCTTGAAAATTTAATCCCTTGGGCTGCATATGCTGGCTTGACAGTAGCATCTCTGGAGGCACAATAACGCGAAACCAATTCCTAATGCCAAAGGGACAGCATGTGCTGCCCCAGACGGTAATGGTTTACCCAATCCGAATGGGTAGCGTGGCTGTCAAATAACACGAGTTATTGTTACCGCTTCCCTTCGTAGTCCCCACGCACCTGAGGTATGATGAGTACCCGGTGTGCTGGTTCAAAATCGGGAATTCAAAAGAGAGTTCACTATTTTAAGAATGCATTCGGGAATTGAGGCTCCGGCTTGTAGCAGAAAAGGGTTTATATTATCCTTGCCTTTGTGGTGATTCTATCTTCCGACTTTCCCGCCTAATACGGAAGACAGTGTCCGCATAGTATCCTATTCGATGTGAAAGAACGCGTGAATAAACTTAACTTACCCTGAGGGAGGGATCCTGTCCCTCAGAATATTCTAGATAAACTTGAAATAGAGCCGAGCAAAATTGTTGTATTTTCACTTAATTTCAAGACCTTAACCAATGATAAGCACTTCTTTCATTTTTGACATGTTGAATTCGCGAACCCAATTTGCATGCTTTTCAGATGAGGATAAATTAGCACGAAGATATGAATTCTTCATCTAGAAAATGAACTAATGTTCATAAAGTGTAACGCATTTGCTAAAATAGGTTTAAGAAAGTTCTAAAATCCCTAGTAAACCATATTTACATGACCTACAGAAGTTTTCATTTCGTTTACCACAGTCTCATCTGTGGGAAGTGAAGAAACTGTACAATTTTTATTGGTAAAACATGCAAAAATATTACCTCCGCATGTTGCGTTGTCCTTCAAGATCTCCATTCCGATAGGACAAAGGCATGTTCTTCCCTTCGGCGAGTTGAGGCAGAGATAACTGCAGCCACCGTTGTTAACAGAGCACGGAGAAAATTCTGAAATGACAGATGAGGATTACATGCGAACAAGTCTTAAATTAATGCATTTAACATGCTTGGAATCGGACCTACCCGAGGAGGTATTCGCTATATCCGGAGTGAAAGAATAAAAGACTTTCTTCGATGACAATCCTCCTTGGACACCGGTTAGAGATACTGAGTAAGCATCGGCTGAATTCTGCTTCATTAAATTCAGATGTGGGTTTTCAGAATCTGTCCAGTAAATGAAGTGTTCACTAACCGTAAGTGAAATCACATTGCCGATTTCGTCTTTGTGCAGCACACGGTTTCTAATAAGAAAGAACAAACCTTAGTATTGCGTAATCCAATTACTATACATCACATTTTTATCAATAATTGTTCTATTAGTGATGCAAAAATGCAAAATTACTTTCGTAATATGATTCTAGAAGGAAAACAGTATTATCTAACAGCCAAAAGTTAGATAGGTATTTACGTATTAACACAACCACCTTAGAAGTCGCCAAGGTTTCGAAATGTGCCAAAGTATCAACCACGTCATTCTTCTGGCAACTATGCTCATAATTCTTCAATCAAGCAAAGCCGCAGTTTTTGTACGCTTTTTTTTTTTTTTTTTTTTGCTGTATTCCAAGCTACAAAGGTTTTTAAAAAATCGTGATTTTTCTTTCTTATATTTAAAATACGAGCTTTTAGAATTTTCCAGCAATGGGAGGAACTGTGGTAAAATTTTTACAAGAATGCAGAATTTTGCTGAAAATTTTCTGAAGGGAACAACGAGAAAACGAGTTTCGTAGATAACCCCCCCCCCATTGCCGAGGATTGCACGAAGCCGAGTCTAGGCAATTCTGACGACTATTTAAAGAAACAGAAGTCGATGTGTACTTCAGGAGAATAGTTTATAAAGATTTGAAGAATGCTTTTGTAACGCGTCCTGTAATCCTTATTTAACAATTCAAGTTCTCATTTTAAATTGCTAAAGTTTTCATGTGTTGATAATGTTGATATTACCTACTTATTGTAAACTGATAGTCTGGGAACCTTTCTATAAAAATGGCGTAAAAACCGTCTACTTGATCCAATTAGTAACTTCACCTGTAAATAATCGAACTATATTCATCTGTAAAAAATGGTCAAATTGCATCAATGTGGTTACTTTTATAGCCTCGTGACTATTTTTATGCTCATTATACACATTTAGTCTATTTAAAACTGCGTTTTAATACACATATTTCAGTGATTTTTTCCATCCTATATTCGTATTTATGTTATTACAGTGTTTACTATGGAGATTTTTTACAGTTAGTGAAACTACATGTATATTTTAAATTAGATATATACAATACAGTTTGTAAACTAAAGTCTTGATGCATATATAAAATTAACGTCAATTATGAAATTGAACAATACACAGGTATGGCTAAGCTTGTGCAGAGTTAAAGTTTAAAAAGATGAAGATTAAAGTTGTCATACGCTGTTGTAAAAACCCAAATTCTTTGAACATTTGATATCATTAACGGGGGAATATCAACTAGCTGTTAACAGGAATGACTGCTTAAAATTTGATGTAGGTTTATTCATGTACTTCCAGGTGTATTTAATTATGGCAAAGCACACTAGGGCTATCTGCCTAAGGGGAGGGATGCCTTTCGTGGAGGACTTTCTAAGGGAAACTGGCTCGTATACACGTTACACATGGGGAAAACCACGAAAACGCCCATGCAGCCAGCCCGTTCGCGGGATTCGAACCTCGGACCGAACTACCAGTGTTCAGCGACTTTACCGCTCGGCCGCTGGTGGGCCCCATGTACTTCCAGACTTTCCTCAAAGAATAAGTTAAGCATGTTCCATTATTTTTACGAAATTTCAATTATTTAACTAAAGCACTTACTTATGCAAATTCAAGTAATCTATTGATGCAATTGTGCCACTTTTAGGATTTGCCCAGAATAGAAGACTTCTTGTGGGATGTACGGCAAGCGATATAGCTGGTCCAGAGATCTTCCTCAACAGCCTTTGGTTCGTTCCATCCATATCATACATGGATACTGAAGGTGCATCTCCGACAACAGATATAAACATCAACCTATCAATAAAATACAATAAATCTTATATTTGAATATTTCTAATTCAATTTCGACAGATTTATCAGTTTAAAATTTCGCATTCATATTTACGGTTAGCCACTAGTCGGAAATATTCTGGAATCTTAACACAAAACTACATGGCAAGTGGAGCTTTTTATCACAGTTGCTACAAAGTTTAAGATCTCACCAAACTCGGGCGGAATCTTGAAGGAACAAATCACTCTTCAGTTACATTCTAGTTAGTCTCGTTGGCTTATAATACCAAAGGCATCGAAGGCTGTTTGCCTAAGAGGAATGACTTCGTGGAAACTTTAGGAGAAACTGGCTCTTATACATGTCACAATGGGGGAAACCACCGAATACGCCCATGCAACCACAGCCCGTTCGCCGTGTTTCGAGCCCACGAACAGAAGTAAGTGTTCAGAGATTTTATCGCTCGGTCGCTCATGGGCCATACAAATACTAGTTATGGCTGTAGAACGTAAAAAGAGATTTCGGTTCATTGCAATTGTTTAATCGTTATCAAATGAAGTCATGTGTAGTAACTTAATGCAAACGTTTTGGAGCCATTATTCCATTAATTGAAAATACTGCACGGCAGGCTATTCCTATAAGTGGATAAATGACTAAATTTAATAATGTTTTCCAGTAAGAGGAAAAATAGATATAACTTACTAACTTTATGAAAGCTAAACTGCCTTTTCGAGATTAGTCACATAAAAGCAAGATAACGATCTTGTAAAACACCGCAGCTTGAATCCATTATTGGCACTAAAATCCATTTCTCAAAGATTATTTATCGAAAATGGTTGATGGAAATATACCTAAGTACAAAATATTCTACCAAGAATTACACTTAAATTGCCAAAATGCAAGACAAAGGAGAATTGTTCAGATATGGTTAGGCTAATTTTTTTCGAATAAGGTAAAACTCCTGACTGATATTTGCCTAAGGAGAGAGATGCCTTTATGAACTACTAAACAGAAATCAGCTTGTATTCATTTTACATACGTGGAAAACTAAAATGCATTATGCAGCTAACTTGTTCTCCTGGAATCGAACCCAGACGGAACTCGTAGTTTTCAGCGGTCTTATCCACAGTGCTTCAGTAAATTAAAAACTGGTGTAAGCTGTATTACATGTAGCTTAAGGCTGATAAACGCAATAAATATACAAGTTCAAAGTTTATGTAGAACTTGACAGTATATGGGAGAGAGGATAAATAAATTTGCTGCTTGCGTACGGGTTCGTAAAGGACGGAATGCAAACAGAAACGACGATAGCTTGGTCAAATTTTGTTAAAAAAGGAACACTTTACAATTCTGGAACTTTCCACAAAAACACTCAAACAACTATTCTCAGTATAAGAGCACAATCAGCAATTACACTTCAAACTACTAAGATCGTTAAACACAACGCAGTGAAAAGAGCATCTAAAAGGCGAAGCTCACGGATATCTCAGTACTCCGAATTTAGCTCTGAACTGTGAGTAGGCGCTCTTTTCCGGTTTTATATAGTTTTTCAGCCAGCCGCCCCGAAATGGCTAGCAAATTCCATTTCTTGAAATTACTGGAAGGCACATACGGTTAAAGTTACATCTAAGGGCCGGATACGGTTACAGTTGCATATCTAGATTAATTATAATTATTCAATTCCAAATACATACTGGTTATCCATGGACCGGACCAAAATGTCACCAGATGGTCGCCAAATATGGCGACTTGTAGCGAATTCACGCAGAACTTGGCGACAAAAGTTAGTTTCCAAAACCGTAGTCAGCTTGGAGATATCTCGCCAATTTAGCGAGATGGCCATTTACTCAACATTAGACATCCCCTGCATTCTTATTTTCTCAGAACGCTTCGCTTCTTTAGATTTTCATATTACACATACAAAAATACAATTTCACATTAGACTAAAATTTACGTACAATTCTTAATAAAAATAAAATTTTAAATTCGTAAAATTCTTAACAATACGAATAATAAACGATCCATTTCTTCAGACAGAATTTACCGAGAGTAATAATCATTTCTGATGTGGGATCACGGCAATAACTGGTAGTTTACACTGGGAAGCACGATCAGAAAACCTGAAGTGAAACCTCCCCTATTAAACGCCAACTGGAAAAAGTTATCGGGAAATAAACTTCGTCAAAAATTGAAGACGGGGAGATGTCGCTTTAATACCAAATGCTTTCTAAAGTCAACAGTACTCATTTCAAAACTCAACTCAAATGTAGTTTCAATTTTTAATTCTAAATTAAGGTTACCGTTCTTGATTTAAATGCATGAAATTGAACATAAAGTTCTCACTTCCCACTAACTTTTATAATAGGCATACGTTCAGTAAAAATTCTGAAGATAACAGAAGAGCATAAATACTTAGTTAACTGGTTATGCACTATAAAGTTAAATCCTATAAAAATATTTGGCATCTTTAAGGTGTTTATACAGCGTGAAAAACTGATGTTAAAAGATTACATTCGCAGAAGCAATGATGAAGATGAATGTTGAACACTTGTTAACATATTTTGGCATCTTAACTCTGGAAATTAAAATCAACATACCTACGAAGAGGATCAAGGCTAATAGCAACAGGTTTAGACAAGTCAACTACGATTATCGACCGTCGAGAATTACTGATGGACATCACTTCCACAGTGCCTTTGCTGGAATCCAACCAATACAAATTGTTGCTTGTCCAATCAAATGAGAGGTCTTCAGGGACAACAAGGTGCTCTTCGACTAGTTCCCTGAAAGAAAAGAAGTCCGTTTATTTATCCAAGAATAAGTTACTACTCCCGTAAAGAAACATTCAAAATCTTACCGCGTAGTTAAAGATGTCATGTTGATGGCATGTATGGCTGGACGAGTTAATTCGCTGATGAAAAGAAACTTCGATTTCCAGTCATAGATAACTCTTCCAATTAGGGGAAGATGAGTAGGGGGCAATTCTGTGACAGCCCCTCCGCCCACAGCTTCCGGTTGTATGTGGTAAATTTTTGTTTCGTCGTTGACGAAAAGCGAAGGGGAATTGCTGTTCACTACAAGGGAAAGATGTATCTGATAAGATCGCGATACGTTTTAAAAACATGAAAATTTAAGCATTAAAGTAAGCTGAATGAAATACAATATTTTAAATTACGCACTTTGGCATGTCTGTTCATCATTTGAGAGCGAAAATCCAACTGGGCATGCGCATCGGTGATTTCTGGAAGGAGCTATTAAGCACATATGACTGCAAGTATTAGACCAGCAAGGGTTATGTTCTAGAAGAATATAAAGAGCAAATATAAATGAGTCATAAATACTTAAGAATTGCAAAACGAATATTGAAACACTGAAAACGAATATTGAAAAATTGAGCATTGAAATAAATTACCTATACGTTAAAAAAGCATTTAATATAATACAATTAAATAGTATTTCTTTACGGTTAGATAAAGATTAAGGACTAAGTTATTCGAGAACTTTTAAATGGTTCTCGGGATGCTTGCTTTTAGAAGTTAAGTTATAAGCCAGAATTCTGTATATAGAAAGAATAAAAACCCATTTCTCATCATTGTCAGTATTTAAAGCTTTAACTAATGCAGTCAAATCCGGCTGTAACGAAATACATTCGATAGCTATATTCTATCCGTTGCTCGCGAAAATTCTTACAAAAAGTAAACATTTGTTAATATTGTCATCTACGACAAAGTGAAAATAAAAAATAATACGATTCGATCAGTTATTACTTTTAATGGCCGTTCTATTCCACTTTAACTGTCAATTTTACACTGTCAAATATTTAGCATAAATGGTTTTAATCCTTCCGTCGAATTGCACATTTATAACTATAAATTGATACTCTGCCTATGAATATAAAAATAAAAAATATTGACGAATTTATCTTTAGTTTTGCTTAACTTCCGAGTATAAAAGTAATTTTCTGCTGATATGTTGCAAATTGCGGGAAAGGTATCCATAGTATTGTTCCCAAATTGAAACTATTCCATCACATTCGATTCTACAGTTTACGTAAAAAATCGTTAATAAAACACTTCGTCCCCCCCCGTCCATCCAGAAGTAGGGGGTTCACTTTCCGCGTGTTGAGTTTCTTCATTTTTTCAGCATCAGAAGAATCTTCGATGCCAGAATTTCATTCAGTTTCCTCTCAAAATAACCATCACTTAGATCTCAGATTATCATTTAATCGCTTGGATCAGCATACCGAAAACTATTTTAAAAGACAGATTCTGTAATAATTCGCTAAAACTTGGCATTCCATCAAGAAGTGAAACAATACAATCGACGTGCTTGTCATCCAAAAGGCTTAAAACCCAGCTGCTTCTTTTAATGACACTTCCAAATTCTTGGTCATACTTCTGACCTCTGAATAGCAAAAATTTTCATTGTAGTTTCAACCTTGAGTAAAGCTCAGAGCTAAAAAATTTAAATATAAACAGAGAACTTAAGAGACATTCTTTGGCTCTATAGTCAGATACATCATATTGTGTCGTAAGACATGCAAATTTTATTCCCTTTCTCCAAGAATTAAGTGCAGAGTAGTTTTTCAGAGTTTATGTAGAACATACAGAAAGTGGGAGGGAGTGGAAATAGAAAATAATAAGTTACTTTTCTTGATTAATGATATGTGAATGATAAGGGTTTGCAATTTGTTCGTTAGAACTCGCAACATTTTGAAAAATGCAAAGCAAATATTCCAATAGAAATTACAGTACGTTTCCCGTGGGCTATAGGGTCCAATTTCGAATGTATTTTGGCCATTTAGTAACTTATTTTAACTGAAAGGAACAGAAAAACAAATCGACAGGGTCTTTCACTTCCTAATCCATATTAAGGAGTAAATTTTAAATCTTCATAGTTTACTGAAATTTCTTGAGACACATTTAAATTAGTGAACGTGCGGGACATACATGTCTCAGCCCCCGGGAAAAGGTTAAATCAAATATTTATACCTAACCTTTGGAAATTCACTATAGCAGTCTAAAATAAGATTAAATATATAAAAAATTGAAGGGACTAAAAGATTCGCTCCTTTAAGCACGAGAGTTTGTTACAGCAATATTCGATTGTAGTTGGAAAATTATGAAGAATTATAAGTAAATATTTTTTAAAATTTAATCATTATTTCACAGACAAATCCGCTACAATTTTATTTCTTACTGTCTTAATTGAAGAGAAAGAGGCAGCATATATTCTTGGCAATCTGGAATAAACGATTTCCTCGTTAAAACCTTAAAAATTAGAGATGGTCTAAAAACGCCAATTTTGTCGTTGCAGCCAATTTTAAAATAGTTTCATTTACGTCAATTTATTAATGCAATAGATTAAAAAATCTAAAAGCTTTCAGATTTTATATTACGCTCAAAGGGTTTTTAACATTTCGTATGTTACCTTTTTATTTATTAAATATTATGTTCTTCGCACTTCAACCATAAAATTAAGTTAGAAATATCACAAAATATTTAAAAGAGCATATCTTTGGAATTTCCGATACAAAATCTCGCGCCTGGAGACAAAAATGTTTTTTCTGCAGTTTTGTCATTGCTCGCTTTGAAATTGTCGAGTTTCATAATGAAAAACGAATAAATGCTTTACAAGATACGAAATGGATAATGAAACAAATTACAAATTTGGGCCTCAAGATGGCCATATTCGGGTGAAGACGTACGTTATTCAAAATTTGATGGCTCTAGGTACCGTTGTTTTATCACAACATGCATACGTTTATGCGCAGAAACATGCATACGTTTATGCGTAGATTCATTAAATACAGGGCTCCAATATTTGGTGACAACCTTTTTTAAAAGTGATTCGCCGTTTATAGTGAATCGACGCAAAATGCCAAACGAAATTAACTCTTCCGGGCTAACAATCAAATTTCCCAAAACTTACTCTTTACCAATAAATTTTTAAAGAGCAATAAAAAGCTTAAATTATAAGCTTGCTATAAGCTATTGTTAACTTTCTGGATTTTCGTTTCAGGTTACTAATCAAATTACTATAAATTGTTATTTACTATAAATTGTTATTTGCCGTTTTCTTGTTAAACCAATCAATAGGAATTTCAGCATCGTTGAAGTTACACAATGCAATACGAATCTCATTTAAGTTTAATAACTTAGAATATGCAGCATATTTACTTGTTCTCTCAAGTACAGGATGATAAACATGCACTCCCATAATATGTTGTCCATTTTCTCTAGCTATCACAGTCACATTATGACCTGTGAATTTGTTGGAGGTTTCTAAAGAGAAGGTATCCCAGTTAGACCAAAATAAGCTGTCTTCAAATACAGCAATAAAATATGGGTGATAAACTGCATTCTTAAGCAGAACCTGGAAGTAAAACGGGAACATTAGATCGTAAAAAAGAAACCAAGTTAGATTTGCTAATACAGTTACAGAATGACAGATCGGATATCAAATAACATTTTAATTCGCAAATAGAACGAAAATGCAGTCACTTAAAAGCATTAGTACACATCGCAAGTTCGCAGCATTTTACCATGATGTTTAACAAATACACAAATGAAACAAGAAAAAGGCATATCACATTGATAAATGCAAATCATAGCAACTTACAAATCGTTGTGATGCAATTTTGATTACAATATACAGTAAAAGTAATCACGTTAACATGGACTTAAAGGATCGAGGACCTGCCCATTAAATTAAAAAATATGAATTTGATAGCTTATTGAGATACCCTTGCACTTTGACCTCTCGCCGTAAATTTTGTCATGGATTTGACCAATTTAAAGCACTTTTGAGCAATACAGACCATAGATGTTGGTGCAATCTTTCGACCAAATGTTTTCTTAACGCATTAATATTAGAAATACTCATCCAAGCCAATAAGAAAGTCTTGGATTAAGGTAAATTTTCTCACAATCTACCTGTTTACAACCCCTTTGTTTTCAGCACTAATTTCTTCAACCTTGACAATATAAAAAGCAATAGACCTATCTAACTTCAAGATTTGTTCTGCACAAAGAACATACTTGCTATTTTTCCAGTAACTTATCAGATTTCGTACATCAACCGAAATACCGGTTTTTTACTGCTGTAACCTTTACTATTGAAACCTTACACCTAAAATTATGGTTTAAAAATGTACTAAATGAAAGTTTTTGATGTATACATGACATCTCATTTTACAAGTGTGATTATTTTTTTTACATATGCGAATTTAAATTCTACTTGAAAGGCTAGACGAAATTATAATTACTGTATACCAAGTGTTGAAACACGTTTTTATTAATTTTATTTTTGCTTTAATGAGATTTATTTTTATAAGTTGCCTTACATGTTATGCATGACATGTCCCAATACATTTTTGATTGTGTATAAATCAGATAAATTATGTCAAATTTAGATGAAGTGCTTCGAGATTTTCTTCAGCTTCGAGAACAGCATTTTAATAAAAATTCATTTCTCATCAGATGTCGGACTGCGTATTTTATGTCACCTCTCCTAGAGAGCTAAAAATGCAGTCTTAGGTCATTTTTAAAATCTCGAGGAAAGATGGGGGAAATCAGCATTAAATGCAAAGCTAGATGGGCCAGAAGTTTTGACCAGCTAGCACAGCCAGAAGTCGACGAAAGCTTTGCGGGACAGGCATTTTTGAACATCCAAGTATTCCTACGACTGATAAATTGCAGAGAGTTTGAGAAGCACTGCATTCAGTATTAAAATTTTGGTAGCATTAAGATATTCATTTCCATATCAGTCTAATATTTCGGTAAGGGGCTCATAATTATGTTTGAACACCTTCAAATATAGTGCAACACATGCCAATCATTTGTCTACATGAAAATCGATAAAGCCAACTTAACGTCACCGAGAAAACTTTCGTTATCAGCATTTTTCTTACTCTTATATGAAGTCGCATGGAGACGCTGGAATAAAGACAAATTCGTTTGAGCCTCAGCTGCCTACTAACCATCTTAAAAGTAGAAATGTTCTTATATTCACTTACGTTGGGAAAAAATTTCCGACTATTTTGTGCTTACGGAAAACGCATAACGCCTTCAAAGTTGCTCGACAACCAATGATATACTTTGATCAAGATACTTGTTTGGAAGTGGTTACATTTATTTAATAAATATTTTCGACGAAAGAAGCTTACTTTTCGGGATTTTCCATCAAGTGTTATGAACTCGATCGTATTTAAACCCGCATCCGTCCAATAGAGTCGATCGGTGGTATGGTCAATACAAATACCATTTGGCCACTTTATATCTTTGGAAACCAGGGGAGAAGGATGTGATCCGTCCATGCCGCTGCGGTATATCCCTGCTGTTTTCATTCCCCAGTCAGTCCAGTAAAGAATTCTATAAATAAGAGAAATGCAATTAAATGGCGTATGACTTTAGTGAGTAAAAACAATGTTTAGCAGATAGTACATTACCCTTCAGCCGGATCCAGTGCAAGTGCTCGAAGTTTCCCCATTTTGATACTATGCAACGCATGGCAAACGCTGTTATCCATTTTACAAACCAATATTAGTTTTAGTTCTGAATCACTAATATACAGATTTCTTCCCACGTAATCCACAGCTATGTCCTCGGGCATTAGAAGACCTGTCAGATTGAAAATGCATTGAAGGTAACTGACGATTCACGAAAAGGTAAACAGCATCAGTAACATTTAAATATATTTTTACCATTACTTAATACTTGTTTGAAGTCACTGCCATCTATATTAGCCGAATAAATTGCCGAGCGATTGGAAATATCAATCCAGTATACCTTCGAGGTAATCGGATCAAAATCTATAGCAGACGATGTCGACACAGATTTCCGTATTAAGAAATAACGACCAGATCTTAGGTACATGCCTCGGATTTCACGCCGAGTGGAAAATATAAGCAAAGGTTCTACGTCTAGAGAATGAAAAAATTTAAATACAATTAAGACTAGGAACTTTAATTTCCAGCAATATTTGAAATTTTCGAAAATTCTAAGGAAAGTGGGCTATGTGATAAATTCAGGAACTATATTGAACAAATGAAACTTACCCGTTGCCAAGCAAGTTCTGCTCACCAGTTTGTAACCTTCTCTACAGGAGCATTTGTAACTTCCAGGGAGGTTGACACAGTCATGGCTGCAGAATCCATCATCGGCACATTCGTTAACATCTGATAAAATTAGGAACATATTCCATGAGAAATTGTTTCTTAAAGACTAAAATAGTCAGAATTAAAATACTAGAAGTGGATTTTTAAGTTAATGAATACTTATTTAAAACGGAATGATGAGTTAAGTTACAAATTGTGTTTCTAGAGAAGTAGAAGTTTGCTAAAGTTCAATCATTGTTAGCATATTACCTAAACAAGTCTTGTTGTCTTTTTGCAACTTGTAACCTTTCTCACAGTAACACACTGGTCCGATGGGAGAATGTCTGCATTTTTGGGAACATGTTAAAGCCGCACATGTCTCATCTGAAAATAAAGCAAATTTTAAGCTAATTCAACAAGCTAGAAAAGGGATTTACCAGGAAAACTTTACCACGCCTTTGGATTACCACCAAGAAATACATAAATCAGCGACAAAGATATTCATACTGTTACGAATTTTGTACATATGTAAATTTTAGTGAAATTATATATAAAAATTGTTTTTGTATAATGCAATATGAAAATGATGCTCTGTCGTAAAAATAAGAATACAGGGGCCATTCTATTTAGCATTCAATCAATAGCAAATTTGGCGAGAAGTTGCCAAACGCCGGCAAACCATTTGTAAACATCTTTGTCCAATCCATTCTTATCTCTTAAAAAACTAGATGGTATTGCAAATGAATAAATGTAATTAATATATATATGTAACTAACGGTAGCCGGTCTTCATATGCTTTACAATAAATTTCGAGAAGTGAAACGCACTAGATTTCTCGGCAGGCGGGGAAACTATACAAGACTCGAGAGGGTAGTTTTTTTCAGTTGCTCAGTTCAGCGTGAGATCAGAGTATTGAGACATGTCCGTAGGTTGGTTAAAATTTTTTGGAGCCAAACAAAAGGTTGTGTATTTTCCAAGACTTAAAATAATCAAGGCAAAAGCATTTACCAATTCAGTGCATACTCACAAGGAGATGTCCGCAGGAGCTTCCCCTTTCTAGAAGAGCTTCGCATGCGTTGTGCATAATGTTCTCAGTAGTTTGAAGTGTAACTACTGATTGTGCTCTGGGACACTGAGAAGAGCACTAGAAGTATTTCTGTGAAATGTTTGAGAACTGTAAAGAGTTCCTTTTTAGGAAAATAAATTTTATTAAGCTATCATCGGTCCTGTGTGCATTCAATCTATTACGCACTCCTACGTACGCAACAATACACTAATCAAAAAGTTGAAAAACCTTTTATCATCGAAAATTATATGACGACTATTTGTAATTACTAGAAGTGTTATCCAAGGATGGGAAATTTTAAAAAATGCATTTCTATTTTAAATAAAAACAAACATTAGTCCTAATTGAATACATCAAAAATGGTCATACTACAGAAGATTCAAAGCGAATAAATTTTTCTGGATTTTTTAATTTAATTAGTATTTGGATGGATAGCCTTAAGCTTTTGACTGCTGATGATCTAACGAGCTTTGAATTAAGTTTGCAAAATTATTAAACTTACGCTTTCACCAGATTCAAAATCCGCAAATCGATGAAAGATCTGGCTATTTTATTTTTGGAAAAGTCCGATGCAATTTTATTCCATTCCTTTTAAAACACTTTTCAAACGAGTCTTCTTAAAAATTTCATAAGTTTATTTTTTCTTGCAAATGTTTTAAGACATTTTTCCATGCTTCTTGCAATAAGCTACAATCGAGCACCTACCAAATGTTATAAAATGCAGTTAACAGACGTGCTCAAATGACATGTTGAACGTAATGTCATCTAATTAAATATGAAAGTACGCATTTAGATTAACATTTAGTATGCCAAGTTCATCTATTCTTATATTTTCAAAACCAATGAAAGATTTTTAAAACCCGTAAATAAATCGACTCTTTAAATTTTCGTGTCTTGGAAACTGTTTTTAACCTATAACTGATTCTTTAGAAGATTACCCGAGAAAAAATTTCCATACATTTTAAATGAAAATTACCAGCTTCCGAGTAAGGACACGGTGTTTACTATATTTCAGAAGATCGAAGAAAATAAAATGAAATTTTGCTTAGTACAATGGAAAGATTATCGTTTATGAGCATAAATATCCATTTCACACTAAAAAATTAATATAAACTTAGTTTAGAAACATTGAAAAAGCAGCTTTTAAAATAGCTGCAACTAAAATGGCTTTATGGAAAATAGGCGCTAAATTTTGCTACGGTAAGGAATTTAAAAAACTTGGGGGAAAAGACATTTATCTATACAAGGTAAGAAAAGCCTTCATGGAGCCTTCATTCAAAAAAATACGTAATTAAGTTATTTTAATTATTTCTTGTAATTCAAAGAGAAATTGATTAAAACTTTTAGAAGAATCTAATAAACAATATTGTGATCAATGTGGAATGCGTCGCGAGTAACGAACTCTGGTTATACGGCGATACATAGAACTGAAAAATAGAATTCGACTAACAGTTTGCTTATTGCAGTTCAGGCAGCTATTAAGTTCATTTGTCGTAGTTTCTAAATAATCTTTACCAGCTTGTCACCGGAGATAGATGCATTCGATCTCAAAAAGACTTTTGTAAGAAAGTATTGGACACTGACAACGAATTCTGATGGCGCTTATTGGGAACTAGATCTCAGTGCTACCGAAAATGTGGCTCAAACACAAACCTTTAATTTGACTACATCTGCATTGCGGTGCTGATTTGAAAAAGTACTACCTAAGAATACCGGACACGAGAACTCTTGTCCATTCTCATATTCATGTCACTATTCCTGATGTTGGTTCATTATGAAGATATGTAGAGCAAAATTCAAACGAACGATATAGCCGGTTGCGTCATATTATATTACATCCAGCATATAATGTTGCATGAAATGGTGCGATTCACGCAAGATGTTAAGTGTCCATGTGAGTCGTATGGTGCTCCCATTTTAGCCGCAGATGCATGTTTTACCCATTAAGAGCGGTTTTTTCTTATTTTAGTCAGTCTTGCAGATAAGTAATTAACTAATACCCGAGTATTAAAATAACCATTTGCTACTGAAGCAAAATTAAATGGCATACAATTTCTCAAATACTCAAGAGAATAAAATAGCTTCTATAAAAAAGAAAATATTAAACTTCAAATAGTGAAAAGATCAGCAGCAATTATTCATACAGAAGGAGTTGCTCACAGAGCTACGGAAAGAGTTACTCACTACAGTGTTGTCCTTCATCGCTTGCATCTGAGCAATCACTCTTTCCATCACATACAGCAGCCAGAGGTATGCACGAGCCAGATGAGCAAGTGAACTGCGATTCAGAGCAGAGTTTGGCTGTAAAATAAGCAAAATTTAATTGTTAATACAAGTAATAGGTGTCAAAAATAAAATATATATCTGACATTGGAATTCTCTCTTCTACAAATTAAATTAAGACCTAAACGCAAGCGGAGAAAACAGTTGTAAATATGTAATGATTTGCGTGCATGTTTAAGCATAGCACAAATATCGAAGCTTCAAACGACAAATGTAAATGTTAAATGTAGTAAGTATCAAGAAATATCCAAATTCTCGAATTCAGCAAGTACAAACATTCAAAAATAAAAAAATGTCAGCTATAAATCAAACCAAGGAATGAATTAACCACGAAAAAGTAGCCGATCACCGAAGACCTCCAAATCTTCCCATTCAGAGCCGTGCGTTTAGCGTCGTTACTCTTTGTAAACGAATTCGATTCTTTAATCTTAATTTATTCTAAAGTCTAAATCTTTTGAAGTATTTACATTTAGATGCATAATGTCTTCCAATGTAGCCAGCCGAACTGCTGAGTATATGAAACTTCAACCGTGCCCTCTCTGCACTTGACAGCAGCATTAAGTTGCTAACACATTGTGTGACTATTTTCGGCTCAGCCCGTGAGTTGCCGTTGGCCGACAGTGATAAATACCATATAAAACTAAAAAATTACATTGTTTCAATGGATTTTATTGAAACACTGTAAACATAGAAACAATTCTTCGCAGGTATCACAAAATGTGGCAACTTGTTTGCTTAATTGTTTGGCCATTTCTCTGCCAAACTGTGTTGCATTTTCTTCATAGCATAATTTACAGCATCTTCGCACTGTAGAGAATTCTCGAGTTTTTTTAAAATTTGTGTTGTGGTTTTTCAGAAGTAGTTGCAATACTACTAGATGGAATGTCTTCGTCTCGGCAATTTGGGAGGCGACATTCAACTGATATTTTCATATTCTAGGCTAAAGAAAGTTGTCTTCCCTGGTCCGAGATCACATAACTGAATGCATATCAAGGTAAAAAGGGCGCTTGACATTGCTGTGCCACAATACCAGCGCATTTCTAAAGCAGCGCGCGTCGTTTGACGGCAATTTCCTTATAAATTCGCGTGGTACTCAACGTATTAATACTTTGGAATTTTGTCAAGTTCTTGGATCAACCAAGTCGAACTTTTATTTGTCACTGAAAATTTATTTCACAAACTCAGATTTTTATGAAAAATGCTTTCCCTCAAAATAGTCTTTATTTACACAGATTCACGACTTATTCTGGCAGCCCGTCATTTGTATCCAATATTTCATCGTATTTGATGCAGGAAATACAGAAACTTTGGAATTTTCCTGGTTGATCATCAGTCTTAGTGGGCACATCGAAAAACCCTTGCCTGTCCATGATGAATCGGAAATCAGCTTTGCCATAATTGTATACAAGTTTCCTTGCTAATACAATTTTCAGCTCATTTTGCACTACTGGAAGTGAAATTCCAGCCAATGTAGAAATTTCTTTGCGAAATTTTTGATAAAGTCTGCTCTTACCTGAACTAAACTAGTCTTTTTTTGCCATTTTGGAACTAACTTTACAAATCCCAACTTAAAATTAAAGGATTTAACTGAATTTTAGAACTTTGAGTTTGCATATTAAAAGCACGTGATTACATAATCCAGAAGTGTGCATTTGATAGGGTGATCCTACACTTTTCTGTGCCTTTTTAATTCTTTGCTCTTGATAGCATTTGCGATTGACCTAGATATTTCCTGAAGTGTCGTGCATAGTGCAAACCAGTTTTAATAAGCAACCAGTTTAAGGTTGCTTTTTTGCCAAAAGTTGTATATACGTATTTCTACCAATTCAAAATGCCGAATAGTTCGAAGATTTACCTGAAGGGCAGAGTTCATCAGAACCATCTGGGCAATCTTTAATACCGTCACATTTCCATCTCTCAGGAATACAGTGATGGTCTTGGCATCGGAATCCACTGCATTCTGTGAGGTTTTCTAAAGAAAATATTAGTTAAGTATTCAATATTAGATAGTTCAGTTAGCACCAAACATCATATTTATTCTAAAACATAAAAGAAAAATAACACTGAAACATGGAAAATTTTACGAAGCAAACGGCTAGTATTTATAGTTATGAACTTTTATTTATATTTAAATAACATTTTAATCAAATTACTTAGGTGTGACTATTTGGACAAATACTCTCAAATCAAATTGCTTTGGAACAAGGCACGTGAAGACTTTGTCTAAAGAGAGGAATTGTTTCGTGAATTATTGTTTAAGCGAAACTGGCACAAATTTCCATTACAAATACATGTAGCCAGTTAGTTTTTCGGAATTTAAATCTAGGTCAAATAAAGGTATTTAACAGTCTTGCCGCGCGACCGCTAGTTGGCTATAATTTTACTGTGGGTTAAAATGCATTACTAATAAAGAATTCATTACTTATTTCTACGAAATCCAGCATAATTTTTATTTGTCGCTATGGTTTGGAAAATGTGGCCAAATGTTGACCAAACTGGTCTGCAAAAACGATTGCTTGAAGCCGTCATCTTTTCGCATTTAGCTGATGTGAAGAACTTTTCCAGTACGTGGTTTTCATAAAAAAGTATTCTTTATGACCCTCTTTTTATGTTTTGTATAGTCCACTTGGAGAAACTCGTAACCTCATATTTATGATCGCCAACTACGCCTAAAGAAGACTTGAACACTACCTCTGACGTATAACTGTATATAAACATTATCTTGAACATTTAACAAGATTAACGAGCTGCTAATGCATCTCCACGACCTACATTAACCGTCAGTTTTACTCGTATTTATAAATTATTCTTAGAGGATTTGAACAATCACTTACCTCTAGTAATAAATAATAATAAAAATTCACCGTTATAGTAAGCGTCGATATAGTTATTCGTATCCTTTTTAAATTAGAATATTATGTAATGTAAAATTAAGCAGCGAGTCCAAGATCACACTTTCAATTCCGCTTTAAGTTTGGAGAATAAGGCAAGGTTTACGCTGACAGACTTCTATTGATACTGTTCTATTGTCGGTACCTTATTAAGAAATGCATGAGCGTGTGTATGTATGTGCATATATGTGTGTATGTATCCATGCGGGCAGACATACATACATATCTGGATCAGGTCCTGATAACAGGATCAAATACGAGTTTGTTAAATTTGATCGCATACTCATTCAAAAATTCTCATCCTTCAAAAAATGGCAACCACTTAAATAATCATTTTTCTTTAACTGAAATAGTGTTAGAAGAGGTAGAAATTTGAGATTATATTTGATTAAGGCCAATGCACTAGGACTATATGCATAAAGGGAGGATAACGTCTTCAAGATCTATGTCAGGGGTGCAAATTTAATATTTAAGTATCGCGAATAATTATGAACGAGGTTGTGAATTACGAAAGTAAGTTCATTTAAAAATTTAAATAAGCATTAACTATTACGCTAAAATTTTAAATCCAAATATGATTTCCATTTGCAATGAAATAGTTGAACAACTCACTCATTGACTTAAACACAGCAATTATTGACAGAATGAGACTCATTTACACGAAGTGGTGAAAACGCTAATTTCGCTTGTTTCACTCTAATGCCCAGTCATAAGATGAAGTTACATGAACGTAGAGATCACAAACTCGTGGAAGTACTTTAAGTTGCCGAAAAAATGTGGAAAGGAGCTTTTACATAAGTGAAATTACAGCGAAAATTTAAAATACTAAAAACTACTTTTCTTACCACAACCGTATTCATCTGTCTTATCTAGACAGTCATGTTCGCCATCACAGTGCCAAACTTCAGGTATACAGTGGCCATCGCACTGGAACTGACTGCTCAAGCACTTTACATGAGATACCTTCTTATCTGAAACAAAAAACTATTTCAGAGACAAGCAGGGACTTTAAGAATAGCGAGGTTAAAACTTGCACCGATAAAGCTGTAGTTTTTAAAATGCATACTTAAGGTGTGGCAGAAATAAATCCCGGATTTTATACGCGAATAAAGCAATGATAGATATGAACAATTTTATTCCACCATGTGTCCCAGGAAGCAACCGTCTGCGAAAGGATAGCGTCACAAACGCAAATAGCAAACGTGCCGACGAAGGCGCTACGTGATATGCTTCCATAGTGTTTGATCTCAGTTCGGGGTTTTAAATTACAAAATCGGGGAAAAGATCTGGCCATGAAATAAAACCCCAAAGGCTCAGGTGTTATGCACATATTTTGTCAAGCGCCTGGGCGAGGCTCATTTACTATGCAGTTCACGAGATTCTTCTCGCATATTAATTTGCCATGTTGTGTTAGGTACGCCATGCTTATACTCACGAGTTGCATACAGAATGCGGCTACCAGCCCAGGGGCCTGACAAAATGTGTGCATAACACCTGAGCCTTCGAGATTTTATAAAATGGCCAGATCTTTTCCCTGATTTTGCAAGTTGAGGGGGATATCTGAAGGAGAAATGAGAGGATCAAGACAACCAGTCAGCTGTCAAAATGCTATCAGACATTAATCGCTAAAACACCATCAATCACGACGTCAATGGAAACTTCAGGGTGAAACTTAAATGCATGTAGTAGGCAAATTAGCATTAGAAAGATTCAAATCAAAGTCACACAAGTGAATTTGTGGAAACTTCGTTAAAAATTATTCGCCTTCATTCTGTATAAATTGCAAAGGCAATATTAGCTTATTTGCAGGAGAAAAATGGTAAACTATTCTGTCCAAACGAGATAAAATTTTGCATGATCATCACCTCCACGATCTCCACTATACACCGCACCCTGTATATATTTAGGCGTGTTGCCTGTAGAACATTTTGCGATAATGTTTAAGGTCCGCAAATACGACATTTACAAAAATGTCAGATCGCATCCAGAATGATAGATGCCTTCACCATATTAAGCAATTTGGTAGATATTTGTATTTTTCGCATAAAAAATTTCAGAGTTTCTGCTCCATTTAGTTACAAATAAAAGAATTTTAAAAGCGACGGTCAAGAAATTTTCAAATTGAATATTTTCCGACTACTACTGAACCGCTTTACAACTTGCTATCAGAGTAAATATGTGCAAGATTTTTGTACAAAAAATCCTAACCATGTGGATAATCCAAGCTTAATTTTTATGCTTTCATTCTACTGATCTACTCATAAATTACAGTTTCTGAATCCTTTGAAAATTGATATTTACTGATAGAAGAAATTAATTTTATTTTAAGTATTCAAATGCTCGGTATTCCTTCTGAAAAAGTCAAAATAGTCTTATTCCATACAGAGAAAACAGATATTTTGTACGATATTTGGAGCTCTGAGGCAGAGGATTTTTATGACGATTAGGTTTGTTTTATTTGATTACACCAAAGCTTACGAAAGCTATGTCTGAACGAAAGAAGGCTTTCATGGAAGACTTTTTTAAGAGAACATTTTGCACATTACACGCACATTTCCACATTACACGCGGGGAAAGCCACGGAAAAGTTCTATGCAACCAGAATTAGATTTCGGTTTATTTCATTATAGCAAAGCACTCGAGGCACACTAGAAGTTTAGGCTAATCGATTCAGGCAAAGAAACTCCATAGATACCTGCCTATGGGGATATATGCTTTCGTGGATGATCCCGTCTTAAGAGAAATTCTTGACTTTCTGCGTTAAGATGAAACAAAATGGTCACACGAGGTTTACAAACGCTGATATAAAGGGTTTTTATGGATTTCTATAGAAATGTGAAATTAATTAATCTGAAGAATTGAATATAAATTTTTGAAAATGCTTATAAACGCGTAAAGGAAGGTAAACTTTAAAATTTTTACAAAAGTTAATTATCTGATAAATTCAATAAAATACCGGATATCTAAACTGTCCGATTGTAAAGCGAGAGGAATAGATTTCTCATAAACGGAGGAAACAAATTTATTATTTACATTTTTTTTCAAGAATAAATTAACCCCCTTTACAGCAACAAAGCCTACATTTTCGTAAACAGAAATCATTAAAGCAGACCGCCTCATAAAATGGGCAGAATTTCAAAACAGAAATTTATATTGAACATTAGTAGTCATGTTCTCTAAAACGTTCAAGCTTTCAGAATACCACAATTGTTTGGTATTCCGGTGTTTGGGCGATCTCACTGCAGATGTAACTAAAAACCCCCAGGTAAACACCGAACTAAAACTCTGCTTCCAAAGGTTTTCCTTTCCGCAAGTGCCAAAGCTGTCTTATTCTAAATTCTGAAAAATGTGATCATTTTATCAATCAATGAAAATGTACGAACTCGTTTGTTAAACTATTAGGTGAATTGATATATAGCATTCTTCAATTGTCCAAACAAAGGAATAATTTTACGAGCCTCTACCTGTAGCTATATTTGTCTAGTCCTCCATTTCAAAGAAAATACTGCATTCTTGTATGTTAAAGCCGCAACCTTAATTTTTAAGTCCGATTAGAAATATTCTAAAAGAAGCCTTGGTTAACTTGTCTACCAAACACAGTATTTGTCGTTTCGCAAACTGAAGGCAGTCAAGTGATATTTACAGCACTTTTTACCACAGAAGAATTCTTGTACAGTTTCCTTCCTTTATTTTATATTATACTAGAAACGCATTTTAGGAAACTAAGTTGGACTTTAATATGTATGAAAGGTAGTGCTACTAGATGTCTGACTAATTTGGACAATCCTGAATTAAAGTAAGTGTCTGGGACTTAAATAAGTTGTTATATAATTTGATGAAACAATTCAGAGAACAATGAATGGATTGCCGCTCAGCCTGTATTGTGGCCTCCCAGCCGGGTTCGAATCCAGAAGAAGGCATGATTTAAAAGTCTATCTCTTCATAAGAGACAACAATGGCCACCACTTCTGGCCCTTGTAGTGGCGCAAGACTGCTAAATAAAGCGTCCGGCCATTATAAAAAAAGAATGGGTTACTTCGAAGAAATCTTAGGAATGCTTTTACTGGAACATATCTGTTTTCGCATAAATGAATTTTGGAGATCTGAGCAATTGCACCTTAGCATCTATATTTTCATAATATACGTGTTGAATATGATCAAACTATACTTTGTTGCTTGAAGATTTGAAATGGCTAGCAATAAAATGAATACACCTATAAAAGTAGATTTTGAAGGACTTATTTCAACACTTGTTTGCATATCTTACACCAGAAAGTTCTTTTAGAAGCTTTCTTCTGCTTAAAGATTGAAGTAGGCATTTGCAAAATTAAATACAGCGTAATTTCCTAATATATTACATGTGTTGCCATTCAACGATTTTATAAACTTTTCATTTACGCGTTAACACATTTGGCTGAAGATGCGAGGAAACAAAGGATACAGGCAAAAACAAAGGAATTTAGAAAACCATTAGAAAACTAAAATACTAATACTCTCAAACTTATTTAAAAAGTGGAATTCATCAAGGGTTTAAAAGTTGGAATATTAATAATGAAGGAAGTTACACTTTCCAACTACAGAAACATGCTCATTATTGTAGTCACAACAAAAATTTATGCACCATCGTTAAACGGGTTCTGTGTTTATTTCAGAAATAGTACTGTCAATCAAAATTTTAGAATAAGTCATTCTATTTTAAGTTTCCGTTTAGTGATGTAATACAACAGTTTTCTTACATTAGGAAACTTACCCTATTTTCTTGGTCAAATTATGCCACATCAATGGAAAAACCAATTTTGTCTTTGAAAGCTCATACGATACAATTTTGGCAAACTATACATTTACTCAAAGCAAAACATTTCGTGAAAAAGTTTTCTAAGAATATAGGCAAATTGGAATTTCCAGTCTTAATTTATACTATACTAGAGTATTCATTGAATTTATACTCGCAGGAACTTTCAATTCTTATTTTAAAATAAAATCTTACCCTGTAACTAAACGCTGATAAATCCCAAGTGGTACCGTACAAAAATTATGTTATGGCTATTTAAGTTATTCTTCGAAATCAGGGACCTCATGCAGTCAGCCTCATCAGTTACCAAGAATAGAACCCGCACTGGACTACCAGTGTTTCACCTTTTAGTCAATCGGCCGCTGGTCTGCCTGTTACATTAACACCCGGATGCGAGTGGCTTGTTTATTTGATTACGGAAAAACGCATGTGGAAAAAGGAATGCTTTCGTGTAGCATTTTCTAAGAGGAAACTTGCTTGTATCCATGTTGCACATGGGGAAATTACGAAAATGCCCATGCAGCCAGGTTGTTCGCCGGTGTACGAACCCGGGTCGAACTACCAGTATTTAGCAACTTGAACGTTGGGGTACTTTCAAAGTGTGCAAGTTGAAAAAAGCATGCAAGTTGGAGATCTACTCTTGCATATAAATACACGCATTTAGTTTAAAAAGGGACCAATGGCTGAATATACTTGTTCTGAGAAAAAGTAGGTAATAACTTAGTTTGATACCTCCGGAAAATTCCGTCGACCATTTGGCCTATTAAAGAAAAGACACCAAACTGCGATTTTTCGCCAAAAATGGACAAAGTCTTCTTCAAACACGCTGGGTTGGGTGTAACCGTGATTACACGTGTTAAAAATGAAGATATTGGTGATTTGGCACGTGAAAAATTTCTGATTTTTATTGTTTGAGGCGAAAAGAATATTTCGTGAGACTTATTATCGCGAAAATAGTTGCTTCTACAGTATAGCTTTTTAATAAAAAATAATGGAAATTTTTTATGAAAAATTAAATATGAATAAATGTTAATATAATAAATTTGAAAGAAAAATACTAGAACATTTTTTTCTTGCATTCAGTAATTTTTTTTTTTTTTTATTTTGGTTTGGCGCGATTGGCGCCGTCTCTTGTGGTCGACGGGATTTTCCGTAAGTACTTTGTTTTTTATCTATGTCAATGCCAAATATAGTATTAAATTGAGTTTCATAAAATGGAATAACTATTATGCTGTTAGCTTCATAAAATTTAGCAAACTCGTCTGACGATTGAATGACGTATTACGTCAAAAGTTTTACAAAGTTAATATTTTATTTTTTGCATTTTAGATTGAAAATACACTAACGTGGAAAGTGTTCCAAGTTTTTAACGCTTTTTCAATTGAACAGAGGCCGTTTGCCAAGTATGTAATATGTTCATATGCGTTTCTAGTGGATCTGGGCACGAAGTGTTAACTTAAGTAGCGATTTGCTGACCCATGTCCAAATTCATCGACTGTCAGCAGTTTGCGATGTAAATTAAAGAACTCGTCGATATCATCATTTTCTAAATAATTGTTTAATCCAGTCGCATAATTCCAATTACAATTGACGTCTAAGTTCACGCAAGACTGAAAACTCATTTTACAAGAGTGATCTGATCAGGTTTGACGATGATTTTTGTCTCGCTTCTGAAAAAACTCTTCACGGCTTTCAGAAATTTAATTGCAATATTTCCCAGCAATTCTTACGGCATCTGAAACACTAACCTTAAAAACTAACTGCAGAATCATAAAACGAAGAAAAACTTACCGCAGTTTTCTTCGTCTTTTAAATTGCCACAATCATTGTCATTATCACAGATCCACATATACGATACACATTCACCATTCCCGCAGTCGAGCCATGTCTCCGGACAATGTGAAACTGCAAGGAATTTAAGCCGTGAATAGTAGCACTTGGTAATGGGAAAATTTTATCACATACTAAATTCATGGAAGCAAGCTTAATTATTAATAAAATGTTTCTCCCTATTAAAAATAAGCTCAAATTTTATTTACGTTCTCAAAAGTAACACTGAAAAACAATGCACGGAAAATCGATACTTTAATTCTAATATGGCTTATTTTAATCACTGCAAATAACCGAGGGGGATGCCTTCCTGGAAGACTTTCTATGGAGAACTGGCTCATATACACGTTATACATGAGGAAAATCACGAAAATGTCCATTATGACAGCCCGCACGTCGTACTCAAACTCCGGGCTGATCTACAAATGTTTAGAGACTTTACCACTTGGTCGCTTGTGAGCCTGCTTTTAATAAGAGTCAGGCTCTTTAAAACTGTTCAGGCTGTAATTTAACGTAACTAATATAAAAGTTCCGCTTAACTTGAATTTTGCACTGAAAGAAACATGAAATACATCGGCAGGGCTTAAATACTTTAACGAAATGAACACGGCCAACATTCTTTGTAAATAATTATGTTCATTACAATTAGCAATTGTGAAGTACCCTTAGTTTTCATCATCTTCGTTATCTGCATCAAAAATACGAGGCAGAAAGAACAAAAGTTGCAAAACGGGTCAGTTCTGAAGTTGCTTTTAATTAGTGTCAACTGGAGTTCCTGCGTAATAAATGCTAACTTTAATACATGAAATTAAGATTCTAGATGTTAAGATGTCTTTTGTGTTATAGGTTTCATTCGAATAATTTTACTATGGCAAAACATTTCAGGGCTATCTGCAGAGGAGGGATATCTTCGTGGTACACTTTGTAAGAGAAACCTACTCGTATCCAAGTTACACATGCTGAAAGCCACAAAAATTTGCATGCGGCCAGCCCTTTTGCCTAGAACTGAACGGAGTCCAATTACAAGCGTTCAGCGACTTGCTATCATAGCACAACATGCCCTAGTTGCCCACTATAAATTAAGATACCCGAGCAAATAATGCCTGCTTACCACTCGTTAAATTGGTTTATTTAAATTTACGAAAAAAACTGTGGTAATAGGTATTACTTCTAATAAGGGAGATAAGTTTAAATGTTATTTAGTAATAATTTGGGAAGCAATTTTATGAAGAGGAAAAAAGCAAGTTTCTTTGAAAAAAATCTCAGGATAAATAAAAATTCATAAAACCTTTGCAGTGTCAGATTTACAGTTCCAGAAAATTTGTTACATCTTTAAAGATGTTATGCCTATATTATATGAAGCAATAAATAACACAATTTGTAAGTAAAGTTAGTATAACATTTTTTGTTGAAATTAATACTTATAAGCCAATGAAATTCTGCAAACTTATTCAACACTTATTTTAGGTCAAGATTTTCTTTAATGGCACCGTTTTTGGCCTATTGTACCGAGCACATATTCATTAAGTATCATCTTTTTAAAAACTAACTTGGAGCATTGATTACTTTTCTGAGTAGATAAATAACAGAGGGCATTTTTATATGACTATGGATAACTAATTTCTTATTCCAGAATCTTAATGAAACTTTAATTCAAATTTCTGGTTTGGACTGCGGAATTGTCTTCTTACGAAGTACATATTTGGGAAAGTTCTAACAGAATATATAAATCTAACAATTATAATAACAATTAAAAAGTAACTGTTGGGGGGTCCATATTTGGGAGATTTATTCGTTGTTCACCAAAAAGCAATATTTCTAAACCGTAAACAATTTTAAATTCTCAAAAAAATCTGCGAACTTCGCATCGAGGCGGAATGAAATTCTAGTTACATCATAGAAGGAACACAACATCCCTTGTAGTTAAGCAATGCAAGAAACTGAGAGGCCCATTAGCAGCCGAGCGGTAAAGTCGTTAAACACTGGTAGTTTGATCCGGGACTCAAATCCCGGCGAACGGGCTGGCTTTATGTATGTTTTGTGGTTTCCCAGTATGAGTAACATGTATACAAACAAGCTTCTTAGAATGTCTTCCACGAAGGCATATCTCCTCACATACCACTCTAGTGCGTTGCCATAATTAAATGAAGCAAATTGAACAAAGCGGATACTTCAGTTAAGACAAATGAAATTCTGAATTTAAAATTTTAACAAACGCTAGATGAAGCATTCAAAATCTAACACTTTGAAAACATTCAGCTGAAGATAATTTTCGGTGCACTTTCGATTGCTTTAAAATTAAAGTATAAGAATTTTGGTTAAATTCATTTAAGCATCATGTTAACTGTACAAAAATATCAAATCAACTCCAATAAAATCACGCAAGACTACTTGATTACGGTACACCATACTAGAATCATCCAATTAACCAGGTATTTGGGGGTAATAATGTTCAAAACAACTTTGTTCTAGTGTTTGCGAGACAAACAGCAAAACAATTACGAAGAAAGTTTAAGCGATTATATTCTTCCTAATCACCAGGAAATGAATTACATTGTAACTATGTTGGCAGGCCCTTGAGAGCTATCCGCCTAAGGGAAGAGATGCCTAGTAGAAAACTGACTTTGGTTTATGGAATAAATGTAGAAAATCGCAAAGATCTCCATGCAATCAGCCTGACCGCTAAGATTCGAACTTTTGTTCGAATGGAGCAAAACCGTATTCAGCGGTGTTATCTACTCAACCACTTGAAGGCAAATTTTTAAAGTGAAATTCAAGTACAAGCGTAATAGAATACAGAGAGATTCATTTTTCTTGTTATTATTTTATTAGTTTCTCAGATAAAAAATTAATGATGTATTTCGATACGTCCTAAATTTTAATAGGAAAGATTCGAAATTATCTTTGAACTTTGAATTACAGCTTCGCTAAAATAAGTGAATTTATCCAGAGATGATTTTCGCATAATAAAAAAGTATTTGATTTGTTATTAATCATCTTAGACAATTGACATTTAGATTTTGAAACCACTATTTTGCCTTGAAACATTCTGCAGTTTATATACGAGAAAAGCAATCGCTTCCAGTGATCCCGAAATAGTTCAATTTTGTTTTAAAGCTTTATTTTCCTTCACGTGTTTAGCATTTCGTTATGGCGAAACACTCGAGAGTTATCTGCCTAAGGGAGACTTTTGTGGAGTGCTTTCTAAGGGAAACTGGCTTGTATACACGTTACGCGTGAGAAAAACATTGAAACGCTCATGCAGCCAGCTTGTTCGCGGGATTCGAACTTCGGCCCGAAATACCAGTGTTTAGAGACTTTACCGCTCGGCCCCTGGTAGGCCTCTCATGTTTAGCAACTGCACTCGAACGAGAAATGCGTTTCAACAAGTTTAGAAATAAGTGTGAATTAATATGAATATGCTGCAATTTAATTTTAACACCCTACTATTATATTAGCTATCTTTAATATAGAAAATATTGTAAAAATACATAGAAATACATGAAATGCACCTGTCATGTATGGCTTCTGTAGAGACAGAAGCAAACATTATGCGAAAATTGTAGTTTCTACAGGTCCCAAGTATAAAATCTTATATAACGTGTATACAATCAACTAAAAGAATTCTACTGAAAATATCAAATCAAAAATTTGGTCAAAATTATATGAAATTCTACACAAGTTTCTCCCTTTCATTTTCTTTAAAATGAGTTCAAGATTTTGGATATATATATAAAAGCACTGTAAACTTAAAAAATATATCTTTTAGGATTGAAAAGGATGAATTAGAATTTCTTAAATTCTTTTTTTTTAGTATTGCCTAAATTTTATAATAGATGATATGGAGGACAAAAATTTCAATTTCCCAACGGATGAGTGTTTAGATTTCAAAACAGTTTCAATTTCAAAACAATTTAAATAAAAATAAAGACATTTTAAACAACTTTATTTAAATTAAGAAAGTTTCTTATGTACACATACAATAGTTAGAAGTATTGATTTTAGGAATTTAAAGCGATTTCACTCTTTTGCAAAACTGAATTTGGATATCGTAAGAAATTCTGCACAAAAAATGGGCAAAATATTACTCAGCTTAAAAGCTAGAAACTAAGCTATAAGAAAAGGATAAAAACAGCTTTTAAAATGATTCGACACTTATAATATCTTCTCTTTTGCATCCGACATAGTATATCAAAAACTGAAAATTTGTATTGATTATAGTTTGAAAACATTGCCGATTTCTTTTCAACTGGTTTATTTGATTATGGGAAAGCACTGGTGGGCTATCTGAGTAAAGAGAAAGACGCCTTCGTGGAGGACTTGAGGGAAATTGGCTTGTTACACATCGGAAAAATTACACGAAAACGCCCATGCAGCAAACTACTTTGTACCGAACTACCAGTGTTCAGCGACTTTACTACTCCGTCTCTGGGGGACCCCATTGCCGATTTCTATAGAATAGCGTTGTATAAAGGCTGTAAAATTTATACAATTTTGTGAAGCAACATTTCTGCAGAATTCAGTTCTGTGAAAGACATAGAATTTCTACAGACTTTTCTAGAGAAGCATTTCTATACTGTATTATCTATAAAAGATTTAGATGAATTTATAAAGCTCTGTCAAACTCTATGAAAAAATGTTTTTAAGGGAGTACAAAATTGAGATAAGGCAATGCCCCTCAGATTCGAAAGAAAAATATGGTTATTTTATTGCAAAGTTTTCCTGTTAAGTAGAAAGCTTCAAACTAGGAAATAACTGAAAATTTACGAAGCGAAATGGTAAGCCAAAAATGAGCAAAAGTTAAAGCGAAATTTTTACAACTTCATTCACATATTTTAAGCTGTTGACATGCTACTTGATGTCCATGTCACAAACGAGATCTTATTTTATCAGCTTTTTTATGAGCAAAAGTTAAAGCGAAATTTTTACAACTTCATTCACATATTTTAAGCTGTTGACATGCTACCTGATGTCCATGTCACAAACGAGATCTTATTTTATCAGCTTTCATGAAGGACTTCTTAAGAAAAACTGGTTCTTATACATGTTTACACATGAAAAAAACCACGAAAATATCCATACAGCCAGTCCGTTAGCCTGGATTAGAATCCAGTTATATGAATTGTAGAATGAGACGTTTCAGAAAATGACAGTGAAAAGCGATCGAATTTTATAGTAGCTTAGCTTTCACGCTGAGCAGGTTCTGAATTATTCAACTTTCCTACAAATCTATTTACACTAATTTATTTCAGAAGAATAATTTCAGTGCAATTTTGGACGTAATGAAAAAGTATACTGAAGTTACGAAAATAATCAGCCTTTCAGTAATAGGTAAGGATGTAGTTAAGAACATATATATATCACGAATGATTTTTATCAAGATCTAAACAATGGCTTGTAGATATAAAGCAATAAAACTATACTTCGACTTATGTTTCCACTGCGTTTATTATTAACATTGCTTTTATTTGCTCTTTAATTAACTATACGTTTCTTAATTACAACAGCGACTGCATATTTTTTGAACGATTTGTTTAAATGGAACCTGTTACCACAACGTACAAGAAGACCGACTAAGGGAAAGAATGCCTAAATAACCACCAGGTCATATTCATGCTACATACAGCGAAAGGTACGGAAATGATTCTTCAGACATTTCGTTGGCAGGGATTCAAACGTTTGTTTAACTAGTATTAAATTAACAAGCGTTAACTAGTATTAAACTCAGTATTAACAGCATTCAGGTGTTTTAACTACTTGGCTACCGTTCGGATCCCCCAGAGATTTGTATAAGCTTTGATAGTAATAAATCGATGGTTAAAAGTTTTGAAGCTATGATTTCAACTAATCAGCATCACCTTTTGTCCAAGGTTAAGTTTCGAAACATAAATGGTTTTAAACACTGGCATATTACATGAAATATTTATGATGTTTGGCACAACCAAATTTCCAAAGAAATGTATTAAACTGAAATTTTCATCTAACTACGTTGATGTTTGATGCTAAGCGTCAACTGGAGTACATCCTTAGATTGTTAACTACTTAATTTTAAGCTAGCTAAGAAAAATCATGAATTTCTCACCTGCATACCCCAAGTTAGTAAATGTTAATAAAATAAATATATAAACATAAGACTCCATCGCTGCTACTCGCTCAGCGATGTAAAACCGGCACTGGAACTAGACGTCTAAGGCGCACTACAAAGCATTTTATCAGAAGTATTGTTGACAGTAGAACGTCATTAGTGGGTCATTTTATTTTTTACCCTAAAGACAATTCCTTTGCCCTACACATTCACCCAAAATATCATTCGGATTTTTCGAGGACAATTACAGTAGGTATACATTCGTAATAAGTATTACACAAGAATATTATACAAAAAATTAGCATATTTTACGAAAATAAGTTAAAATTTTCAAATCTTTCTGTTTTTGCAGTATTTTAACTAATAGTCCTACAAGTCTGTATAATTCAAAATATAAGAAATAATAAATATTTTGGTGAAGAAACAGTGTGTTGGATAATTACCCCTCTAGATATCAGGAATCCGGATAAATATAGTCCGCAAATTCCACTCTCCTTAACCCTTTGTTGCATAGAAATAATCTAGAGAAGTTAAACGAAAAGGTTTTTCTACTTAAAATAACCTTAGTAATAATAAAAAAAATTATTTTACTCAAATTTCGTTTTAAATAATTGCTACAGTTTGTTCACTACTGTGGACAGCATGCATATACGTACATGCATACAAATCTCTTCCCAACGATTTATTGTCATTCCATTTGAAATCATTTCCTGCCTTGTTTGCAGTGATCATTACCATCTTCTAAATGGTAAATATACGACTGACATGTACATACAGATCCCCCCAAAATACCTTCATTTCGTCCATTGTGATTGAATTCATTTTGGTATGATTTTGTAACCTATACCTATTGGATTCAAATTTCAAATGTTCTAAAAATTCCTTGCCAAACATAAACATTTCCGGTGGTGTTTTGTCTCGATAAGCAGTCCATTGGGGTTTCAATTCACTCTTTTCGGTTGATCTTTATCTACCCACTCCTCAATTTTCTCAAACTTACATTTAAAATAAAATGTCTAAAATGACTAATTGTGAATAAAAAATGGCAGTATAAGAAAATGTAAGCAATATTATATAATGTTTACTATGAGAAATTGTAATAACTTGGAAACAGAAGTAGCAGCCATTTTCCAAATAGCAATGCTTTACTTAGTGATGCTATACAGCCATCTATAATCGATAGTTAAAAGTTCTAACAATATAGAATGAATAAACACAGGAATGGAATTTGTTAAGGCGTTTACAGAAGAATAAACAAATTTAAAATTTTGTCTACTAGAGTGGATATGATGCAACAAAGGGTTAAGATATAAGAAATAAGATATTAAACAGAGCAATGATATAATATGTAAAACAAAGCATCATATATATATGAAATTTAAAACTAATAAGAATGAAAATAAATTTAAAAAATAATGTATTTCTTTTTTTTTAGTTGCCCCGAAAGTTTAATCTCTAATCAACCGAGATATAACACATGGCAAGGTATAAGAATACTTGACGAAATTTTGGCGACATATCTCGGTTGATCAGCGATTCAATCTTGACAGCTATTCTAATTTTAGCCGCAGTAAAATTATCTCAGCCGACTATTTCGAACCAGCAATTTATGGATTGGCAGCCACTAATGTCAATCCTTTCTTTTTTCCCCTCCGTCAGCTTCACGGCCCGGACAGACAGCTTAAGAAAGTTGCTTGTTCGGCCAACTTAAGCTCCTTTAACACTATAATTATTTCTTGCGTGCTAATACTGTTAATGTGTAAGACATATATGAAAACATGTACGAAATTAGAAAATATGTAAACATAGTTCTATGCAATTACCACATAAATTTGGATGACAGCATAACATGCAACTTCCACTCTACAGCGGGAACTGTACCATGGTTTTCCGAACTCTGAGAAACCGAGAATGGCATATAGATTATCAAAAGCGTTAACCCAAGTGTAGCAGCGTTCATTAGCTGGCTTCTGAAGGTGATATCTAGCTGTTTCTGGGTAATAAAAGATGTCATGTTCTAAGTCCCCAGTGGCCTCCCAAAATACATTGATCAATGTCACAAAGTCCGAAAAGTTTTAAATAACTCCTCTAAGGGCCATAACTTGTGAGGAATTGAGTTAACTCCGCTGTTGAGTTTCACTCTGACAGCTACCTGTTTTGCATTATTATGTGCGAGACCTGCATTGTGCATTAGTACGCTTTCTGCAGCTGCGCAATACCAAATCTTTAGAGTCTGCAAGGATATCCACCATTAACGGTTCTGATCACTGAACTTGATAACTGTAATGCTTGCTTAATGTAGGAAATGCGTAGGTGGTAGGTGAGTCTGCAATCTGTAATTACACCTAGGTGTCTGAGGGGATGAACGATTTTAATGATAATCCCTCTTATTTTATACCTGGGATGCGGTTATATCTTCTTACGAAGTTTATCACCAGTCCATGCGTTTTAGTCTCTGAAATTACGAGTTTGCGATCTCTTGCGCAGTTGACAAATTTACTCAGTGCATACTGGACATGTGTGCAGCGATATCTGGCTATCAGCAAGAAGTCACCCGCTTAAGCAAATATTTCGATATCGTTGTTGTCTCTTAAGAGCCCAAGAGCAGAATCAATTATGAGGTTCCAAAAAAATAAATGAAAAAAATGGTTCAAGACATGCTCCTTGTGCCTAGTCTCTGTTGATGCTTGATATATAAACGCCTTCGTCTGTTGTGGACTGAACATATCTGGCATTTAGGTTGCTGTAAATTAAATCGTAAAGTGCTTTTGGGCCTTCCATGTCCTTCAATGTGTTCAGCACATGCCACCACGACGAGTGGAAGGCGCCCTGAATGTAAATTGAAATTGTCAGAGAATGCATTTTCACTCTTTTATTGCGCTCAATTGTGTTAAGAAAAATATTTAAACTTTTGCAACTTCGCGCTCGTGGAAAAATGTCTCACCTTCCAATATATTCAAATATAGGCGAACAAAAGTGCGGGATGAGTGGTCATGCTACCTGGATGATACCATTATCTACACCATCTTGGACCTGGAGCTTTGTTAATATTCAGAACTTTGATAACACTGCTGGGTTCCTTGATTGTCGGAAATGGCTCTGAAACTGGTAAACTGTACTGAAAGTGTTGGGAGACAGTCTGATTTCTGTTTGTGCCAGGGTGTCGTCAACTGCTGTATTTTGTTCGAAATGCTATTTAGGATATGTTCGGTAACTTGTATGGCGTAGTTGGTTTTATACTGAATTGTAGTGGTGAGGCTGGTTGGTTTGAACACTTTGTCATGCGCGAATTTTAAAGGTGGCACTGCATTTTTCAAGTGTTGTGGTACAGAAGTTTTGCCATGACGCAAGTTTGACTCTGTTAATGTTGCGCTTATAGGCAACAATATGCTTCTTAAAAATCATGGCTGAGCGAGCTCTTTCTTGAAGAATATAACATTTTTACATTCTATAACTACTGCCATTTTGTAAGTCATTAGTGATCAGCACATATGATGAGTGTTATACTAACGATCAACCTAAGCTAAAAATACCTAGATACAACCCGAGCGTTAAATTCGACAAGCACTGGAAGTTCCATCTGGATTCGATTACTGGCGAACGAGCTGGCTGCATGGCCATTTTCTTGATTTTTTCTTCCATATGTAATGCGGGTACGAGTTAACATTTTTTGGAAAAGTAGACCAATATACCTCGCGTTTTTTTGTCATAGTCAAGTAAACTAAGAATGCTGGATATAGTAGAAAGTGTATGTGTCCGCTAAAAAATTAAGTTCCATCATTTCTATCAGTTGTTGTTTAGAAATTGAATAACAAGTATGAATATTGTTGAAATTTAAAAAATGAAGACAAAAGGGAATTTAGGGAAATTATATTTTACTCTTATCGTATATGCTTTGGTTTTTACTTAATTATGGCAAACCACTCGAGGGTATCTGCCTAAGAGAAGGAATACCTTCGTGGAGGACGTTTTAAGAGAAACTACCTCGTATACATGTTAGACATTGGGAGTACCACGAAAGCGCCCATATAGTCATTACGTTCTCCGGAATTCGAACCCTTGACTATCAGTGTTCAGCGACTTTATCGTTGGCCACTGATGAGCGCGAAACAGTACCTGTATCAATCATTTGATGGCCCAGATGGAACAGATTGTATTTTTGGTTACATTTGGCGAAACACTCAACCCTACTTTCCTCTCTCTCTAATTTCGTCTTGCGTTCAGCATGTATGTTAAGTTTCTAAGTTTTGTAAGAATATCATGTGAGCGTTCTTATTAAATTACTTATGCATTAAGACGATTTTGAAGAAGATTCAAATGTGTCGGTGCGAATAATGAAAACAATAAATTGAAATGTAAAATTAGTACTGGAGGAGAACAGTGATTTTATCCTTCAGAAAAACTTTCTAATAATATATTCTTTTTATTATTTCCCCAGCTTGAGCGGAGGGAAAAGACTGCTTATTTACAATGCAGATAATGCTTGCGATCAGTGGAAATGCGTTCGCTGTATGCAACCAGTGTTTCACGGCTTTAAAGCCTTTCGATCACTGATGTACCATATAGATTTCTCGAATTAAATTTAAAATTGATATTAAATTTATTTTACCGTAAATACTGATAATATGTGAACCGAATGTCAGTGTATATCAAAACACCATTGACTAATATCCTTATGGATGAGAATTTAACTTTAATATATTTTTTTTGTATTACAGTTGCCAATATTAACGATAATCACACATTCCCGATTAATTCCGAGATGGAAATTCACCCTATTCGACACCTTGCATATTCCAGTGAACAAAGGTCAGTATTTACGTATTAACGCAACCACCTTAGTATAAGTAGCCAAATTTTCAGAATGTGCTAAACTCTGGCAACTATGTACGTACCCATTTTTCAGACAATCATGCTGATCCTTCAGTTAAGCAACGTCGCCATTTTCGTGGTTTTTCTTTTTTGGTATTCCAAATTACAACGGTTATAAACAAATCACGATATTTTTTTGCCTTAGTTTTCAAATATGAGCTTCCGTAATTTGCCAACAATTAAAGAAACTTCGGTAAAATTTCTGAAAGAATACAGAATTTTTCTGAAAATTTTCTAAAAGAAACAACGAGGAAAT